CCCTCCTCCCCAGTCTTCCGTGTTGGACGACGTGGAACTGGAACTGGAACTGGAACTCCCCTCCCCCCTCCCCAGTCTTCCCTGTTGGACGACGTGGAACTGGAACTGGAACTGGAACTCCCCTCCCCCCCTCCCCAGTCTCCCGTCTTGGACGATGTGGAACTGGAACTGAACTGGAACTCCCCTCCCCCCTCCCCAGTCTTCCGTGTTGGAGGAACTGGAACTGGAACTGGAACTCCCCTCCCTCCTCCCCAGTCTTCCGTGTTGGACGACGTGGAACTGGAACTGGAACTGGAACTCCCCTCCCTCCTCCCCAGTCTTCCGTGTTGGACGACGTGGAACTGGAACTGGAACTGGAACTGGAACTCCCCTCCCTCCTCCTCAGTCTCCTGTGTTGGACGACGTGGAACTGGAACTGGAACTGTTCCACCCGCCCGGGGCACACTCTGTACATTACTAAATTCCTTTGCATTACATTGCATTACATTACATACATGACATGACATGACATGACGTGACGTGACGTGACATGACATGACATGACATGGCAGACATACAGACAGAGACAAACAGACAGCCAGCCAGGCAGGCAGGCAGACAGTCAGACATACTGTTGCAGACATACCTGCACGCACGCATACACAGATGCATAAATTACACCGGCATAGACTTCAGACAAGTGGGGAGACATGTAAGGAGACAAGGCAGCAGCGGCGAACTAAAGCGGCCACCACATAGGCAAAGAAGTGGGGAGACATGTAAGGAGACAAGTGGGGGGAGAGGTAAGGAGACAAGTGGGGAGACGAAGCAGCAAACCAAAACGGCGATCACGCAGGCAGAGAGGGGGAGACATGTGGGGAGACAAGGCAGCAGCGGCAAACCAAAACGCCAAAACGGCGATCGCGCAGGCAGACTGGCGAGGGGACGAACAAAGTAAGTAGTGTTCAGCAACTACTGTGCATTCAGCAACTAGGTTTTTTGAGCAAACATTTTGTTGGTTTCAGCAACTGCGGTTCAGCAACTCCCTGCGTTCAGCAACGGCGGTTCAGCAACTGGTTTTGTGGGCTTCAGAAATGGTTTTGTCTGTTTCAGCCAGTGGTTTTGTCGGTTTCAGCAACTGGTTTTGTCGGTTTCAGCAACTGTCCTTGTCGGTTTTGCAATGGATATTGGGGGTGCGGGGGGGGTGGGCCGGGTAAAATGACATCCGTTGCGCACGCTACGCAGACATAGCTCTTGGTTTCCCAGTTTCCAAAACCTACGTCCCCAGTTGCCGAAACCCACCTTCCCAGTTTCCGAAACCCACGCTTTAGTTTCCGAAGCCAACCGTCTAGTTCCGACACAAGTGGGGAGAAAAGGCAGCAGCGGCACAGCGTCCGCACAGCAGCGGCATGCCAAAGAATACAGGCGCCCAGTCACTGAGAAGTAAGAACCCCTCAAGCTATTGCCATCCGGGGAAAAATACGTGCGTAATATGTGCAGACATGCAGACAGACAGACGTACGGCCATGCATACAGACAGGCAGCCACTCATGCACGCACACATGCATCCATACATGCATCCATGCCTACATGCATGCCTGCATATGTACATGCACACATGCATGCATGCATGCATGCAAACACACACACACACATACATATCATACATACATGCATGCATACATACTGCATAAATATGCACATACATACATAGATAGATACATACATACATACAGACAGACACACACACATGCACATGCACTTGCGCATGCACATACACACATACAAACATACATACATGCGTGCATGCATGCAGGCATACACACACACATGCATTCATACATGCATACATACATACATACATACAAACATACATACATACATACATACATACATACACACACACACATACATACATACATACATACATACAAAACACACACACATACATACATGATCCCCCCTACCAACCGGCTGGAATGTTGGGGCAGGGTACCCCCTGGAAATTCCACTGGAACATTCCACCCTGGATTGTGGATTCCCTGGAAATTCCAATGGAACATTCCACCCTGGATTGTCGATTTCAATACCCCCAACTATCTAGCTCGGCTTAATGTCTCAGAGATTTCACGTCAAGCTTTACTCTCGACATTGTACTCTCGACCGCTTGATGTGTGCTAGCAAGCGCCAGTTTCCCAGCAAGTGTGTCCAGAACCATTTTGGTTCAAGATGGCGCAAGCCGTCTTTGGTGGACCCGCCTTTTTGCGAATCCTGGACAGCAAGAATGAAGCAAGAATACTCAAGAATCAATCAATGGATTTTGCTTTCTGAATGGATTTCCTTTACTTCTTCTTTGTTCTGTGGCGCCGAACAAGTCAGAGCTTGTGGCCATCTGAGGAGAAGTGCGGGTCAGTGTGTGGCACACCGACATGGGATGCCCAGTTGTGCCTGTGGAGAACCAAATGCCTGAACATCACGGTGCACCCCCTCTCCGGCAAGAAGCGAAAGAGCCCACACGAGTGCTTCACGCATTTTGGTTGCAAAGATCGAGTCTTCCTGTGGTAGGTATGTGGTCGAGTCTTCCAACTACTGATGCTCTTTCAATGTATCAACCACTTCGTGGCATTGAGACCCGCAAGTTTTCCAACCGCCGAATAGTTTTTTCCATCGCAGTGCCTGACCGATGCCCCAACCAATGCCGACGGACCCCCACTTGAACATGCTTGTGTCCATGGAAGCGCCAGTTGTTGTGGCTGTCAAGACCGCTTTTCACCCCTCGATCAGGTCACGGATTGGGGTTGTAATATAATTTCTTTCCCTTTTGCAAACTTTTTCCAGGACCCCCCCATAGAGAGGCAGCACAGCATCAACCGCCAGAACGTAAAATCCATAACAAATTTGAACAGACGAAGGCGTTTCTTGGCATGTCGGGTTCGAGCAATCACACACATCCTGTTGCGGCCGGGGGGGCCAGTGAAGTGAGTGTCAATGCTGGTCATCCCTGCTGTGAAGGAGAGCCTTCATTGCCCCACTGGGGTCTTCAAACTTGCTAAAATTCATGAAAGCTCGCCACAAGTTCCCAGCTCCAGGGCAGGAAGACTTGGGCAGCAAGCCTGCGAAAACAGCTTGAGGCCATCCATTCATTTTGGTTCTACGCGCAAGCAGCTGTGTGCCTTCTTGAATTTCATTTGTTCTTTTCTGTGTTGGGTCCAGGCTCCTGCCATTGGATCAGACAATCTTGGAGGAAATTGATTTGTTTTTTGAGCAGAACCGGATCTTGTGAGTTCTATTCATATCTCTTCATTGCAGGACCTGTCAGTGCCCAGGGACCGTCTGTGGGGGAAGCGCAGACAGCTCCGGCCTCAGGTTGCGGAGCGATCTCGTTTAAAGTTTAAGAGGCGTTCAGGCGGCCATTTAACGATTTCCCAAGATTTGTTTGCGGAACCCTGGAGAACTGCATGTCAGACATTGAGAGACCGACCAAGTCAGACTTTTCAGATTTCTCAGCTGACATCTGCAGGTTTGATGGAATACCATTTTCAGCAAATCTCAGCAAATCGATTCAAAACACAGGCTCAGAAAAAACTGAGGATGTTTGTGTTTTGATTATGCAGTTTTGCTTCATCGACCCAATTAATCAGATACTGGAGCGTTCTCAAATCTGCTGAGGCCCCAATTGAGAGTGGTGTTGCAAAAGTCCCAGAAATGTGGAGAACCGATTTTGATGGAACCCACGTTTGAGGCATCTTGAGGTTTGAAGTAGGTGTATCATGGCGTATCGGAGGTAGGCGTTCTATGAGTATGTTTTTTTTTAAAATACTGTTTGTTTTTCAATGCTGAGGTTGCAAAAGGTGATGCCAGGGACCGTCTGTGGGGGAAGCGCAGACGGCTTCAGCCTCAGGTTGCAGAGCGATCTCGTTTAAAGTTTAAGAGGTGTTTAGGCGGCCATGTAACGATTTCCCAAG